ATTTTTCAATGTTAAAAGAATTGTGTTGAAAGAAGTCTCTTATGCTCACAAAGGCTGCATTTATTTGATCAAAATGCAGTAAACATTTTTTATTTTATTGCCATTCAAAATAACTGTTTTCAGATAAACTCAGGATCAAATAAGAGCAGGATTTACTCTTCTAGAATCCCACTATAATCTCTGACATGACCGGAATAATGATAAGGGCAGAAGTTTAGCTTTCAGCTCCTGAAATACAGTGTTCAGCAAGTTGGTCCACTGACGACTATATAACACATAAGAACCGCCCTTTTCTTGTTCCAAAGTTCTTGTATTTAGAAGCTTAAAAATTGACTGTCATTTTTAGAAGCTGTGATCCACATAACCTTTGCTGGGATTACATTCAAAACAATAACTTTCTGTGATTGATATCACTCACATTTCCACTGAAATTAAAGCAGTATGTGCTGTGAGTGAAGTGTTATGCTCCATTTCGCAAAGATAATTGTTTGTTTTTCAGTTGCCTCAGGGTTGACATTACAGAGTTTGTTTATGTGGAATGCTGCATCAATTCTCTGCGGCGCTGAAAGCATGGTATGTTTATTATGACTATTATTTTTATTTTATTTTTTTTGCATGCACATCTGTTCTACGGAAACTACATAATTGCCTTCGGTTCCCGTCCGCTGCAGGGAACGAGTGACGTTTAGTCTACGACCTTAGGTAATGAGGCAGGTGACAGGATTAGATACTATCAACAACAGCGGCGCTGAGAGACCCTGACCATTGTCAATCTCTCTCACATCAGCAATAGAGGCCATGTAAGCCGTGAAAGACATGGTTCTTATCAGCACGTTGGGGTTCAAGTAGTGCCTGGAGCTCATTTCATGAAAATGAGACACTCCCCTTCAGTTCCACACCCTCAAACCCCTCCTTTCCTGCTCTATTCTCTGCAAGCCATGTCATGCTTGACTTGGTCACCTAGTTAGCGGGTACTGCTTGATCACATGTTACTGGGTACTTATTTGATTGGCGGCTGGCTCCCTCCGGAGCAGAAGTGTGACAGGCCTAATCGGACTGCGCTCAGCACCTCTCAGTGCCAATGAAATCCAATGAAGGCCCGACTCGATTCATCCTCATTTGATGGCATTTGTTAAAGGCCAACGAAGGCTTACCTGGCATCTAATTGGCTGCTTACACATCCCCCTCCCCCTCTGATCAGTTAATACTAATATCTCCGAGTCTGGAGGATGAAAGGTGACTGATTGATTTGGGCAGCTGTGTGATTTAATGGAGGAATGGATTACTGTCTTTGCTGTCATCTTCTTTCACCCTTCCACTCCTCCTTTTTTTCTCTCCTCTTGCTTTCACCAAGAGATTTGCAGGCACAGCGACAGCGCTGATACGAGGTGACTCTCGTATCTCGTATAAGAGGTGACTGTGCTTAATGAGCCACGTAATCCAAGATTGAGGCGCTACACCAACATTATGTGTATGATCTTCTATATGTGACCTGTAAGTAACATTATGTGGGCTCAAATGCTGACTCAAATGTTCCAGTTGCTATAAAAATTCCCATTAAATATCAGTCCTCCTACAGTTGTTTTTCTTGGTTTAAAAGACCAGCATGGTATCCTGTATTTTGGATGCTGGTATGTTCGGGTCAGGCTTCTTAACTAGTTTAAACAGCAAGATTTTCGACCAAGAAATTTTCACCAGCATAAACAATGTATGATATTATTGCTAACATATCAGTTTTTAATTTCAGTTTTTATACAAATATTGGCTGATATATATCCAATATTTAATTGTGCATTGTCATTTCCACAGTTTGTACATGTAGAATACCTTTGTTATCATCTAAAAGCTAATCTTAAAAACACTTGAAGGTGTAATCTTTAGCAAATCTCCAAATGTGTTTCAATTTTTCATAGCTACATCATAAAGTTGTGATGCCTCAATTCACTTGTAGAATTTAAAATTATTTATTTTATAGTATAGAATTTTAGATCGACCGTTTATCAGTTATTAGCCAGAACATGAAAACAATACGGTGGGGTCATATTTACCACTGTTTGGCGAATTTTCAGGGGTGGAATTCCAATTTCAATAGAAATTCACGCGATCGGGATCGTGAGGGCGAAAGATTTCCTTGCGCAGATTCTGCAATGAAGACTCGTCATGTTTACTAACAGAAATTTGGATTCATGCCGATTGTGAGCCCAAGTTTATTTGTATGGAGCATTTCCCACATGCCAGTAGTTTTAGTTTTGATTTAAATAAACTGGTTTAGGCTTGCCGTTTATGTCTATTATGAATTCCTATTTTGAATTCCACACTTAAAATTTAATTTGTTTGTTCTGAATGCCGTTAAACTTAAAGGATTTGTTGAGTGAGGGGTACAAAAAAATGCATGTTTATAATGTTTGTGAACGTTTTGGTTTATTTACCAGTTTGTTGGGGGTTTAACATCATTTCTAAATGTTATAATAGAATGTGACTTATACAGATATAACTTATCGGTTTTTTTTATTTTTAAAATGCAATTGTGACCCAGTGCGACTTATTTTCTGGAAAATACAGTAGTTAGTTTAAAAGTGACTTCTGTGTGTTTCAAACATCGATACACTTGACAATGAGCAATGGTCCTTTTTTTTGTGAAATTTTGCTGACATTTTTGTGACCGCACATTTCAGACAGAATTTTAATAAAAAAATTTGTTGTATTTTTTATTTATTTTTTACAAAATAGTATCGATTTTCGAGAAGCGTTTCGCTGCAGCCTACATTGAACATCTAACCCGGCCCACATCCAAGTGTGACATCAGAAGCCACGCCCATGTCCAAATACGTCAAACCAGTTCAGCGGAAAATCCGCCCTGCAGCCAATTTTTATGATTTTATTGGTCATGTCAATCACAGTACTGATTGCCTACACCAAACACTGATCCCTAAACCTACCCATCTCTGTAACCTAAACCAATGAAATTAACTGCTCCGCATTAACTGTGAAACAGGAAGAAATTGAGTCCGAAATTCTTGTCCGAAATTTTTGCACGTTAAAAAATAAATACGACCTCACGTTGGGTCAATCAGGTTTACACACTGCCTCCGAAACTTTGTCCGGATCGGGTTCGATTTTCTGCGTTTTTCGCATCCGTAGCAAGCATTTTGAGAGTTGTTTTGACAATTCACAGCCACCGAATGACGAATACGAAAAAAGGCATACGAAAATTTCGGACTCAGTGTGCAAGGACCTTAAACCTTCACGCCTAACTCTTTTTCATTTACTACTTATATTTCTCTTTTTATGACAGACCGCACTGAAACACACTCTAAACCTACCCTTACACCTAAAAAAAACCCTTTTAATCAGAAACCTACATACAACAAATCGGGTTTCTGGGGCGGGATGGGGAGGCACGAGGTGATGTTTTAGACATGGGCGTGGCTTCTAACATCACACTTGGATGTGGGCGGGGTTGGATGTCCTCCGCAGGATGCAGCAAGCCCTACTTGGGATTTTTTTTTATGCATGTTAAAGGGTCTGCCACTAGGGGCAGCAGAGGTAGCTGGAAAGAGCCAGGATGGCGACTCTGGCGACCTCCAAAGATGTTTTCTCAGGGCCCTTGTGGGACTGTGATCCAGCCCTGTGGTGCTTTTCTGCCAGCTAGACCAGCACCAAACCACCATAGACCTTCACGAAACCTCACGCTAGTCTGAGCCTTGTGCTTTACTCCTCCTTCAACCTTTCCCTCGGCTCCAAGGTCACTCAGCTGCAGGGTTTGGCACCAGTAGGGTACAGCGGTGCCCAGCTAAAGATATGCATAGCTGCCAGCTGCTGTCAGACACGCTCTACCCGAGCCAACAAAAATATCCACTTCTCGCTTCTTATTTTGTTACATCCCCATTCTCCGTCTTACGTTTTTATCACAAGTCCTTGGGGAGCTCCTTTTTGTATTGTATTGTGATAAGGCAAGTGAATGAAAAAAGACGATTGCTTGTCCAGTGATAGTGCTGATAAATGGAGCCGCACATGCAGGTCTTTGTGGTGTCATTTGGCAGGCCCAGGTACAGATGGAGAACTCCTCCTGCAGCGTAGCTCATAAGCCTGTGGCGTGAGCGATAGCTGCTCTAATAGATGCATATCTTTTCCATTAAAAAGGGCTCCTCAAAAGACCCAGATATTGTTTCATATTCATCTTTTTGCTTGCACCGGCCTCCATTCATCATTATCCATTAATGGCATGACCATTAAGATCTTCTGAGATCTTGCTGAGGAAATTCATTGAGTAAATTTCTTTGAGGTCACAGTTGATCTGAGCTTGAGTTAAGGAAATTTTGCCATGTGCTACTACTTATGCTCACTTCATCTATAAAATTATGTCTAGTATTTAAATCAATGGAATGTATTGTTTTCTGTTTTCAATTAAGTCTTTCAGACATAATTGGCCACACTAAATATTGTAGTGCCGTGACATAGAAGTTTTAGCTGATGCAGAATATGTTAACTTTATGACTGATAACTGCATTTAAAGCATAAACATTTTAATGTAGGGCAGGCTATAGTAGAAAGGGGAAAAAAGCTCTTCTATTACTCTACCAATATCAGATAATAATATTATTATATTATTATTGTTGTTATTATTATTTGAATATTAACCAACAAAAAGTACCATGGTACTACCATAGTTGTCGGACTACCATGGTATTGTTTGAAGTACCTTGGAGTACAATGCACTGTTAATAGTATGGTACATGAAATGATTTTACCATGGTATTGTCACCTGAAATGATCACTTCACCATGTTACCATTGCATCTTTTTGTAGTGGTTGACAATATTTTCACAACATATCATGCACCTTCATTTCTTACATGCACCCCAACTCCACCCCTCTCTCTGGCTCTTCTGGCTCCCTCTTTCCTGGGCCATGTGGAAGTCTGAGTGCTTTTTTCCCCTCTACGCATGTGGGTCCGCCCTTCCTTCCATCACACTCTCTCTCTCCCTCTTCTCTTGCAGTGAGAGTGCATCAGGAGGGTGTGGACCTGAGAGAAACATACAGAAAGAAGAAACGGTGAAGACTGCTCTTCTCTGATTGGGATAATCTGAGATTTTCTGGCCCGTTGTGTTTGTGCCTGCCAGCAGGTGCAATGCCTGCCACGTCACTACAGCAGGTGGGCAGCAGGGGGCGATGTGCTGCTCTCCTGCTCCCTCTCCTCCTGCTGTCTGTGGCTCCACGGCCCGGGGACACCATGATCAACATCCCATCCAAATGTGAGTACAGGATTTGACATTACATTAAACATGTAAGTGCATGGCGAGTGTGTGTGTGCGTGGTTTTTTTGTTTGTTTGTTTTTTGCATTGATTTTTGCAGTATTATAATGTTTGCTATGGCTTATTATTAGGTGTATGTGAGTTAAAAAGTGCAGAATGAGCAGTTATAAGCCAGTTTAATTGCTCAATTGATTATACTATTGACCTGAATGCCTAGTACTGGCCTGATTGGAAAGGACAGTCAAGCGCACAGTGATTGAAACCCACCTGAGCAGGAACTGTAAAAACAGCAGCTGCTACAAGCTTCCTAAAGCTGTTAACAGCACTAGGTTTGTTGCTATTATTGTACATCTGCAATTTAAGATTGCAGCCATGTATCAGTGTAACAGAGCATCTCTCTTTCCCACCCCTACACACACACACACACACACAAAGAAGAAGAGGAAAAAGACGGGATTATGAAAACTACAAAACAGAAATGCACCAGAATGAGATGTCAGTGAAAAGTTACATCTGCATTAAAAGGTCACGATTTCTCTTGACTTTCAATTAGTGACCTTTAAATGGGAAACATAGACACGATGGATGTGATCATTAAAATCGATAACACACCCACATTAAAATGTTCAGCCAGCTACACACAGTCTGACCGCGTCCGGCCCATAATATGCTAACGTTCTTTTCCTTTCTCCCTGCCGTATTGCAGTTTTCAGACATTCAACACGTTTGTTTTCTTATTAGGTTGTTGGGACTGCAGTACCAAGCAGTCTTGCAAAGGGTGGTTGAAGTCAAAGGAAAGGAAATAGCTAGATAGGGAGTGAGTTTATTTTAGCTCTGCTTTGCCAGCATCTTTTCTCTTGTGTGCCTCTTGTTGGGCAGCTGAACTACAGTCCAGGTGTCTGAGCTGGCATCGTGTGTTTTCTTTGTTTCACCTCCAAACAGTGAAATCATACATTTTTTTTTTTTTTTAAAGGCTTAATGCAATAGGTGGTGGTGGGGGGTCTGGTTTTGCCTTCACTGTTGGAGCAAAAGTTGTCACGAGGATAGTAAAACCTGATATCAACAACAAAAAATGTCTTGATGAAAATCTAAAGATGCAAAATAATTTCTGTGACGGTTAAGAGATATATATAAAAAAAAGAAATTAAATTAGAAAATATCTATATAAAAAAAAGTCAATAGACAGATCACACCATGACAGAAGAACATATGCGTGTTTATGTGCACTTGTTTGCTATACCTCTATAAATGCCCCTAATACAGTAAAGCATCTAATCCTCATTAGGGTTAGATGTTGGAAGTTGTAATTAGCTTTACTTAGGAATAATAGTCATATAGACAAAGTTTATGTGTATGTGTGTGCGGCTGTGCGCATGTTCTACGTGTTTGTGTGCGGTGTGTACAATATAAGTGCATGCTGTCGGTGTGCATTACTGTAAACTAAAAATATTAATTTTTTCCCCCCGCTGACTAAATGGACAGACAAAATAAGACACTGTGAGTATTTCTAGCATATGTTTATGCATGTACTGACTCTACTCCACTAACATTTCCCAGACTCATTCCAATAACAGAACACAGCCTGCAGCAAACAGCCCAAACTGATCAGCTGAGATATTTGTTTGTTATATTTAGAAGTGTGGGAATGTTTTTTTGTTTTTTTTGATTGAGGGTGCATTAAGACAGGAGTCTTTTAAAATTAATGATTATCTTCCGTTGGTGGGTGAGGGGTGGCCATGCCTCCCAGTTATAATGGTTAATGGCCCATAAAATGGTCCATCACCAGGGATTACTTTCATTTTTGAACAATTTCCTTTTTTAATCTGCGTTTTTTTCTTCTTCTTATAGATAGATAGATAGATGAGGGTATAAGCTGCATAGTGAGGGATCACTGTAACCATTCCCAAACATCAGTGTTGTTATGTGTCCAGTATAAGCACTTGTTTATAGCCTCAGTGACTCTGTCAGTAGATTACATCACTAATGCTTTATGCTCTCGCTGTCTGCCTCTCTTATTCACTCCTCAAGTCTAATTTTCTTCCTGCTCTCCAATTCTTTCACGGGCCACTCATCCGTAAAACAACAGACACTTAGAGAACATCTCGGGTCTCTGCATGCTTTATACCGCACTCTTCATTTCCATCTTTTCACTTGGGAGTTTATAATGATATGGACGAAATTCCGTTTCCTGGAACTAATCGAGTGAGTGTGTTGGGGAGATTCAGAGGCACTTGCTTCAGAGCATTGTTGAGGTTTAGTGGGAAACTTAACTGAAGTCAGTGGCGCTGCGGATCAAGTTGTTTTGAATATTGTGATTACAGCAGGTCAGCGGAAAGGCTGCTTAACTCCTGTGACTAATATGCCTTCATCATCCACATCTGAAGCAACTAACAAATGAGCTGTTATTATAGCTTTTTGGAATGTCTATTTCTATTTTAAGGGTGTTGCTTTGCTAACTCCAGTTTGCAGAAATATATTGAATGTTTTGAGTGTGATGCACTCTCTCCGCAGTGAAAAGCCCCCCAGTGATCACTGCCCAGCCAGAGTCTATCACCACCTTTTCAGCCGATGACATCACACTCACCTGTGAGGCAGCTGGGAATCCCCCACCCACGTTAGTATCCATAGCAACACAGTTACATAATTTGGTAACAGTTAATTTGAAGCCTTTATATATTGCTTTTTTTTTTGCATTGTATTCATTCATAAATAATTGTTGCCACAGTTACATAACCAATTCCTAGATACACATTTAAACCTATTTCCATATGATGTGTTTTAAGGACTTTAAAGAATTGGACTTTAATGGCTTTCATGTCTGGTAGTTTAGTCATATGTCCATGCACATGGAAGACTAGGAGTGTCACTTAAAATGAATTTATTTATTTAATGAAAAATAATTTATCAATGTATTAATTCAAAAATAAAAATGCAAATAATCACTTTGTAAATAGACATTTTATTTAAATCTTTAGAATTTATTTAATTTTGAAATGTAGTTATTGTTTACATTTTTAAAATGTTTTTTTTTAATGATTTTTAAAATGTTTTTAAAAGAAGAGCTTATGTTCACCAAGGCTGCATTTATTTGGTCAAAATACGGTAAAATATTGTGTAATGTTGTGAAATATTACATTTTAAAAAAACCTGTTTTCTATTTTAATATTTGTATTTATTTATTATTTACTCCTGTGATGCAAAGGTGAATTTCCAGCATCATTACTCCAGTCTTCAGTGTCACATGATCCTTTGAAACCATCCTTTGACCAATTTAATGCATCCTTGTTGAATTGAAGTATTAAAGGGATACTTTAAGTTGTTCCAAACCTATATGAATTTCTTTCTTGTTTTGTGTTCAACAGAAGATATTTTGAAGAATATGGGTAACCAAAGAGTTGACCATCAACTGTTTGGTTACCAACATTCTTCAAAATATCTTCTGTTGAACACAAAACAAGAAAGAAATTCATATAGGTTTGGAACAACTTGAGGGAGAGCAAATGATGATAGAATTCACATTTTTGGGTGAACTTTCTCATTTTTTTCTTCTTTTTTTAAAAAATATTTTATTTACATTTTCAAATTAAACAAACACAAACAAACAGGGCTCAGATGCAGCTATTGCCAGTTGTTTACAGTCATATTTAGTACAGCGGTAGGAGGAAAGGTTGTTAATACAGGAACACAATTAGTTTACTGTAATTTAGCTTTTTCAAAATGAGTTAAGAATGGGTTCCAAGAACAGAAAAATGTGTCCATTTGACTAGTGCGGAGTTTTTTTTTTTTGCCAATGAAGAGCAGGCCCAAAAAGCATGTGACAGTGTACCCTCTGACATATTACGTGAACTTTCCCTTTAATTATAACTTTTGAATGGTGTATACAGTACAGGCTTTTTACAGATAATTTATTACTAATCTTAGAAGGGATTCATTGAGAAAAAATACAAATTTGTCACTATAGCAATTCAATTTAATTTATGGATGTTATTTTCTATGTTATTTAAAAAAAAAAATACTGTCACTTATTTCTTATCTGTATCCTCGCTAGGTTCCGCTGGGTGAAAGATGGTTTGGAGTTTGACCCCTCTAAAGACCCTGACCTCTCAGTGTCCAGAGATTCTGGGACCTTCTCGTTGACAGCCAAGGATGGACCCATCCACCAGTACCAGGGCAGATATAACTGCTACGCATCTAATGAGCTTGGCACGGCCGTGTCTAAAGAGGCTCGTATTATCACAGAGAGTAAGTCACTCTCATTACCACAACATTATAGAGCAGCACACTTGCTGATTGCCTGTTTGATATCCCTGACATTACCACATGTGGCGAGTTTTCTGTTGAGAGAATCTGGTGCGCAGCAGATAACAGCCCAAAATCAAGCCCCCTGCCCCCTGTTGTGTGTCATATGGAGTAAATGTCATTTTGAGGAAAATTACAGCTCATTGTGTGTGCCAGTCACACAAGCGCTTCGAAGAATTCCAGAACGAATATAAATCCCAGATTGCTTCCTAATTAGCTATCAAATACAACTCTGTGAGCGGCTCATTGTAACAACACCACATCTATCTAGCAATCTACCTGTCTCCCTTACTCTGTCCCGACCTCTCTGCCAGTTTCCCTGACAACAGTTACCTCAGAAACCAGTGTGAGTCGTGTTAGTGTGTCAGCGGGGACGACCACTCCTGGGATTAGTATGTGCAGGAAGTGAGAGTACTCAGCATGAGCATGGCTAACAATAGCCTGCGTATTATGAACTCCACACACAGCTGGTGCTGCTGGAGCTGGACACATTAATATGTGCACCATCACACACGTATTTCATATCATTTCAAGCCAGTGCATCTTCTAAATAATGTTGTCGTTTTTAATTGCATTCTGGTGTTGCTTTGTTTTGTCAGCTGTGCTGTATATAATTACTTGCTAGCTAATTAGCATACTCTAGTTTCTCACAAGGATCAAATGTATTTTAAATGGTCAATTATTGTAAATAATAATTAAAATTTTCCCCATCCATATCTGAGAATGAATTTAATATATTTTTTTATTCATTTACACAGTAACAAGTCTCACTTTGTTAAAAGAAATTATTTCTTTTTTTAGCTAGGATACTTTAAAGTGATGTGAAGTGACAGTTAGATATTTATAATGTTACAAAATATTTCTGCTTCAAACAAATGCTGTTCTTTGGAACTTTCTTTTCATAAAAAGAACCCTGAAAAAAATGTATCGCGGTTACCACAACAATATTACACAGCGCAACTTTTTTCAATATTGACAATAATAAGAAATATTTCTTGAGCACCAAATTTCTGAAGGATCATGTGACACTAAAGATAGAAATAGAATTAAAATAAAAAAGTTCTTTTGAATTTTATATTTTTTTAATCAAATAAATGCAGCCTTGTTGATTATAAGAGACTTTAAAAAACATTATAAATTTTTACTGACCGCAAACTTTTGAATGTAATTTTAATTCATTCTCTCTCGCAGACACTCCCACTCTACAGAAGGAGAAGAAGGTGTCAAAGAAGGTTGAGGAAGGAGAGAGTGTGGTGCTTCCCTGTAATCCTCCTAACAGCACCGTGGCCCCGGTCATCCACTGGATGGACAAAAGTTAGTCTGTTTTTAATCCTGGTTTATCCGTGTTAAAGATGAACAACATCTCAGCAATATCTATATACAATATATGAAACTTTTTCTCTTAGGGCTGCGGCACATTCAGCAAAACGAGCGTGTGATTCAGGGTCGCGATGGAAACTTGTACTTCTCTCATGTGACTCCGGCAGACAGCCGAGATGACTACACCTGCAACACTCAGTTCCTCAGCGCATTCATCATCCAGCTCAAAGAGCCCATCAAACTCACTGTTGTCCCCTGTAAGTATCAAGGCAGAGAGGATGCTGACTGTCCTTGACAAACCAGAGCTATTTTATAAAACTTTTGAGCTGAACAGTAGAAAAGAGCAAGACTTTTTAACATTGAGCTATTTTTTAACATACAGTAACACTATGGCCCCGTTCACACTGCAGGCAAAAGTGGCCCAAATCTGATTTTTTTGGGGTCAAGTGACCAGGTCAGACTTCTTCAGAGGTAGTGTGAACACTCAAATCTAGCCCAGATCTGATTTTTTCAAATCAGATTTAGACCACATACATATAGATCTGATTTTTTTCAATGCGGCTGCAGTGTGAACAATCAAGGCGGATTTGATGCGACTTTTACGTCAATCTACGTCGACATTTGTCACAATTATGCGGGTCGACATTTACGTCGACATTTGTCACAACTATTCAGGTCATATTCCCACCACTCCTGGCTTCGTCTACGCATCCACACAGATCTCTGTAGTGAATTTGCAACCATAAACCCGCAAAAGTTTCCATTACACAAACATTATGAAATAAATGCGAATATGCTTACTTCCTCCATAACCTCCCGAACTTTAGTGCAACCGCGTGCTGCGTCTGATGTCATTGTTATTGTTCTTTTGCGCATGCCGGTTAGTTTGAAACCTCAAACAGTTCACACTGCAATCAGATATAGGTCACATTTTAAAAGGTAATGTGAACAGCCAATCAAAAAATCGGATCTGAGCAAAAAATCAGAATTGAGCATTAGGACTTGCGGTGTGAACGTGGCCTAAGATTCAATGCCAATGGTGCAAAATACTGACAAACAGTGGGACTTGATACAGCAACCAAAGATGTTCTTCTGTACATAGACTAAAAATGTCAAAAACACAGATGGGGTGCCTGTGTAGGGATGGACAAAGTATCTATCTATCTATCTGTCTGTCTGTCTGTCTGTCTGTCTGTCTGTCTGTCTGTCTGTCTGTCTGTCTGTCTGTCTGTCTGTCTGTCTGTCTGTCTGTCTGTCTGTCTGTCTGTCTGTCTGTCTGTCTGTCTGTCTGTCTGTCTGTCTGTCTGTCTGTCTGTCTGTCTGTCTGTCTGTCTGTCTGTCTGTCTGTCTGTCTGTCTGTCTGTCTGTCTGTCTGTCTGTCTGTCTGTCTATCTATCTATCTATCTATCTATCTATCTATCTATCTATCTATCTATCTATCTATCTATCTATCTATCTATCTATCTATCTATCTATCTATCTATCTATCTATCTATCTATCTATCTATCTATCTATCTATCTATCTATCTATCTATCTATCTATCTATCTATCTATCTATCTATCTATCTATCTATCTATCTATCTATCTATCTATCTATCTATCTATCTATCTATCTATCTATCTATCTATCTATCTATCTATCTATCTATCTATCTATCTATCTATCTATCTATCTATCTATCTATCTATCTATCTATCTATCTATCTATCTATCTATCTATCTATCTATCTATCTATCTATCTATCTATCGTCTTAATCCATCTAGTATCTATCAATCCATCCATTGGGAATATTGTTTTAGCTGTTTTGCCCAGCTTTAGTCCTGTGTGAACACTCACTTACTGCAGCTGTGATTGTTTATCATGCTCTCTCTCCTCATTTCCCTCAATAATTCTGTCTGTGTCTGTAGCTAACTCAGTGGTGCGCAACAGAAGGCCACAAATGATGCAACCCACTGGCCCCCGCAGCTCCTACCTGGTGCTCCGTGGCCAAGACCTAGAGCTGGAATGCATTGTTCAGGGCCTGTAAGTCAAACCTGATCTGGCTGTGTGTCTTTTAGAGTTTTCAATTATTTAGAAAGTGTACTTCAAAAGTGTTCTGTTTGTTTACATCCTGTTCTTTCCCTCATTAGGCCGGCTCCCAGTATCCAGTGGATCAGGATAGATGGAGTTCTGTCTGAGTCGCGCACCTCCACTGAGAGTTATAACAGAGTTCTGCGCTTCAAGAATATCTCAGAGTCTGAGGGTGGCGAGTACCAATGTACCGCCACGAATCTGCAAGGCATGATCTCTCACATCTACAGCATCACTGTGGAAGGTACTGTATGTTTCACACTGCCATATCACTTCCTCTGCAGATTTAGATGTGGGGTGTGAACTTGAGGAGATAATTGGGAAGATGACTAAAAAAAACTTAAATTATACTTTGCTAACGAAAGAAACAACCTCAGTCAGGATTTACATTGTTAGCGTTGCATGATTGGTGTATAATTGCTTAATAAAAGCTTATTGCCTACTTTGCATCCCTTCTGGAAAGTTATACAATTGTTGCCAGAGTCATTTCATGATTAGTTGTTTGTTTTGTGGTGGTCTAGCTGCCCCATATTGGACGAAAGAACCAAAGAGCCAGCTGTACGCCCCGGGAGAGACGGTCAAACTGGAATGTAAGGCTGACGGCATTCCCAGCCCTGAGGTCACCTGGAGCATCAATGGCAATCTTCTTACTGGTAACTGACTCAGTCAGGAAACATTCCATGTCTTAATGCAGGGTTCATGATTAAATGAAAAACTAATTAATAAAATCATAAAAGTTTAAATAAATAATTATAAAATAAAAAATCTAAATATAACATCATTTTTTTCTCACTCCTGACTTAAGTTTAACCAAGTGTCCCTGACACCTGTAAAATTATACTCGGGTGACTTCCCCTCTGACCGCATAAAATGCCTAAGAATTATAGTTACCTGACCTCATCTAACCCCACCTAAGAGTCTCAAACTGAGTCGAACGACGTCTCGTTCCTTTTTGAACACTATCACTTGGGAATAAAGTCTTTAGTGTTCTACTAAGCTGCTGTGCAGCAATAATCAAACAGACTCCAGACAATGCCTTCGAATATGCTTTAATCACAGCTGGAGGATCTCAGACCAATTTTAGAGAGAATCCCACCAGCACAAACAACATTTAGGTTTCAAAAGCATATAAATGTTATCCTGCAAGGAAAAGAAATGTTAGTTATGATTCATTTAAAAATCCATCACAAACACTTACTAAAAGAATATGAAATACTGTGACTATGCAAATGTGTTGCTAAATAATTGAAATATTAACTTAAAAATACTTTTAAAAAATCAATTAAAAAAACTTGCACACCCAAATCAATTGTTGTATGAAATTACAATAGGGTGTCAGCTTGGTTGACCGCAACGTTGTTATTAATTAAAATATTTTTGTGAGCGTAAAATCTCAGGGGGTACTTAAAATAAATATTTTAGATTAAAGAGGTTCATCTGACAAAAAAGTTTGGGAATCCCTGCCTTAATGCATATTTTGTTTGTATATGTTAAATAATCTTTATCTGTTCAGGTGAGGCATGAGAGACATCGGTATAGTCTTGATGTACTGAGGTGTCTTTTTTGCATAGATATTGACCCAGACCCCCGTCGCAGTTTGAAACCTGATGGTCTCACTCTGAAGAATGTGGAACTCAGTGACACTGCGGTGTATCAGTGCAAAGCTGTCAATAAGCACGGCTCTATCATCATCAATGCTTACGTCTATGTTATAGGTAAAATAATTTTCTAAAGCAGCTCTAAAAAAAGCGAATTTTTTGTGGTGATTGCTAAGGCAGCATTCAGGGACTGGAATATCATAGATTTGTGTGTTTTTTTGCTTCTCTAGAACTGCCTCCCCAGATTCTGACAGAAGATGTACTCATGTACTCTGTGGCAGAGGGACAGACGATTGATCTGGCTTGCGAGACCTTTGGCTCTCCTCGGCCCAATGTCACATGGTAAGACAGACTCGATCCTGTGGGGTGTCCTTTCCTCACGCCAGAACTGCTCTAGCCAGCTGTCCTGATATCGGTGGGGAGAAGCTGCTTTGTGGGGAGTCCATTAGGGCACATGGGCAGAATCACACTCAGTAGTCAGCATTTCTAAATATCGGTGTTCTTGGAATATCGCACATTGCATCCATTTAAACAGGCTAAAATGAATATTTTGTGTGTTCACAGGGAGGGTGAGTCCTGGGGCGCACTTATAGCCAACCCAAGGATGAGTCCGTTATCCGATGGCTCTCTACAGATCAGTAACGCCTCCCTCAATGACAGCGGCCTGTACACCTGCACTGTCAGCAACAGCAAAATCACCATCACTGCTGAGCTGGCCGTACTCAGTGAGTTTAACATGCATGAATGCTCATGCCTTCACACATACTTGATTTATAACTGGTTTCACTTCAGACTGTTAGGATCATTTCTTTTCATTGCACTAATGTAATGTTGATGCTTTTATTGTATTCTAATATCCTCATTCAGCCAACAAACTGCAACAAAAATAGTTTTCCAGTAAAATATCAAAATATTCTTAGCAAAATTGCATGCAGGATATTATGCATATTTTAATTATTGTATATTATAATTATTATCATCATCATTGAAGTTTATAAGTTATTTTTCTTCTTTTGTTTAGCTTTTTATAAGCAAAAATCTGACTGGTTAAAAATACAATTTTGGATATATTGCCTAAAAAAAACAGTAAAAAAAAATGTATAAAGTCTAAATTTGAGATGAAGTAATAAATTGGCCAATAAAGTAATTTACTGAAACATAAGGCAAGAAAAATAAATGTAAACTTAAAATCTGGATTTTATTTGACAAATTCTGTCTTCTAGATAAGACATTCATTGTGAAACCTCCGTTGGCTCTGCGAATTCAGCGGGGGAAGCCAGCTACCCTCACCTGCGAGTACCAGGTGGACTCCAGGCAGGGCGCCCCTCAAGTCCAGTGGAGGAAGAACCAAAAGAAGCTCACAGAGTCTTCTGATTCAGACAAGTATGCTTTTATACCTTCATGTCCCTCAAAATGCTTCAGAATGGCTTAGTTTGAACTGTATAACGTGATTTCATGAACATTATTAACCATAAATATCTTAGGTACATGATAGATGAATCCACCCTCATAATACCTGAAGTTGAAGAAGACGATGAAGGGATATACACCTGTGAAGTCATTACCACTCTGGATATGGCGGAAGCGAGTGGCTCCATCACTATCGTTGGTAGGTAACTTTATAAATGGCCTGTTCCCTATAACATGGCCATCTCTAAACCTTACATGTCTGGATCTATATAGCTGCATGTTGTATGATAATGTGACCTACAGAAAGGACAAAGAACATGTTTGGCTGTAGGCAGATTCAAGAAATAACCTTTAAAATCATAGAAGCCTTGTTTTAACTGGGATCCCTTGACCTCTTTGTCAACCCTCATTCACCAGACCGACCAGACTCTCCAACCCAACTACAAATGACCGAACCTAAAGAACGCAGTGTCACTCTCAGCTGGACACCTGGAGATGATCACAACAGCCCTGTGCTAGGTACATTTACAGTATATGTTTTTTTTCTGTTTATGCAATACATACAGTTTGTGTATGCAGTTAATATTTGATACATGTTCATTATTTGAAATTCTTATTGATTTTTTTCCCCCTTTAAATGTCAAATGCTGTATAAATTAATGGTTTAACCAAGATTTGAATGTTTTTTGGACACACTTAAAATATATATGTCATTGCGCTCAATAACAAAATATCACACCAATATCAAACCACATTTTCTAAGTTTGCACAGGGATTCCCTTTTTTTTTGTCAGCAAAAATTAAAATATTTCCTTCAGGTACACATTTTTCTTCTCTGATGTTGGTAACTAGTCACTTTGCATACAGTTAAACAAAAAAAATATTTGTCTACATTTTTTAAATAAATATTTTACAAAAATACTAAGTGTTTCCTTTTAATTGGTTTTTATTTATGTTTTATTAATTGTTTTAATTTCACATTTTTTTATGATAATGATTTATTTCATTATTAGTGTTTCATCAACTCACAAACACCCATTTTGGAAAACCATCATTTACAAAAAAAAGAAATATATATATATATATATATATATATATATATATGTATATATATTGTACTTGAAAAGTGTGCTTTCTGGAAAAAAATAGCTATTTTACTTCATATTTTGCATCTAATACAGTGGCATTCATACATTTTAAGTGTGTTTGAAGTGTCCAAATACTTGGGGGCTAGTCTATATAAAATCAGTGTCATTTTCTGTTTTATATATATTATTGTATACATTGTGTCTAGAGTATTTGATTGAGTTCGAGGAGACAGGATCTGAAAGAAATGAATGGGAGGAGCTAAGCCGTGTGTCAGGCAGCATTCAGCGAACTACCCTTCCCTTGAAGCCCTTCATTTCTTACCGTTTCCGAATCATCGCCATCAATGACATCGGCAAGAGTGAGCCGAGCAAGGAAACGGAGGCTTATTCCACACCAGCTGCTTGTAAGTTAACACCGCATGTGTGTGTGTGAACGCTTACATTGCCTTGAAAAGAAAATGCTTGTCCCGCTACATTGTGATGCATTTGTTTTGTCTTTTGAATCATTGTATGACACTTTGAATTTGTGTTTGTATCTTCTCTCAGTGTGTGGCTGATGTAAAATGACAGTTTTATTGCCATGTTAGAACATCTTGGCACTAAATTATGATTTGTCCTCTACAGCTCCAGACAGCAACCCCGAAGGAGTGCGCAGTGATTCCATCAACCCAGGCACCCTTGTCATCACATGGAAGGTGCGCTGCACAATTCAGACCAAAAATGATTCTGTCTTCATGCATTCTCTTCATGTCGTTCCAAGCCTGTATGCTTTTTTCCCCATGGAACACAAAAGAAAGTGAACAGAAGCTTGAAAATGGACAAAAAAGTTAGATAAAAGGAATCCATATAATGTACATGTGATATTGCAGTGTTGGCAAGTAACAAGCAAAAATAAAATGGCCACACTACTAACTTTTTGGTAGCACAAGCAGTGGTGTAGCATAACCAACTGTTTTTAAAATGTTTTAAAAAGTGAGTATACACGGCTGTCTCTCTCTCTTAATAGTGTTTTCAGGTATGATTTATTCTATTTATTCTTCTCTCTCTCTCTCTCTATCTCAAATTGTTACAAAATTAGATTCATTTTAGTGAACTGGTTCATCTTAAATGGTCCTCTTTCTCATATATAGAGTATATGTAGTATTAGAAAAGTATAATTAATTCTACTGAATTAGTTCATCCTAAACGGTCATCTCACTCTCTCTCATATGTAATGTTGGAAAGTTTGATTCATTATAAGGAATTAGTACATCCTAAACGATCCAATTTCTCTCGTGTAGCGTTGGAAAGTCTGATTCATTCTAGTGAATCAGTTCGTCCGGACAGTTCATGTAAATAAACTGATAAAAAAAGGAATCCCTGTACTTATTGCCAATGTTTTGGGATTCTCATTGTTCACAGATAGATACATTCTAGCTCAAGACTGAGTCTGTGTTCTTGCAGGAGTTGGAGAGGCGTAGTTTCAACGGCCCAGATTTTCACTACAAAGTGATGTGGAGGAAAGTTTTGGGCAGCGGTCCGTCCTGGCACACCAAAAACATCACCTCTCCACCCTTCATCGTCACAGATGTGGGCAACTTCTCTGCCTTTGACATTAAAGTGCAAGCTGTTAATGAGATGGGAGAAGGTCCAGAGCCCAAATCTGCCATTGGATACTCTGGAGAGGAGAGTGAGTTTGCCATGTTGTATATTTTTGCTGCTATTGTGAGCCCTTTTTCCTGACATCTTCCTGTAAGGTTATCTTAATTCACCCCAATTTAACAATGATTTTAGTTCATCTGGAGACAGATGTTTTTAAGGGAATCAAAGTGTGGGTGCTCTTTCTCCCTGCCAGCCCCTCTTGAGGCCCCTCTGGATGTGGGAGTGGTTCTGATCAACAGCACTGCTATTAAAGTGACATGGGCGGCCGTGAACAGAGAAACTGTGAGGGGCCGTCTGCAGGGTTACAAGGTAACACTGTGTTGTATTAAACTCAGCCAAAAATAACAAAATGTAAGATGTAAAATCTCTTCAATAAATGGTCTATCATCCATCCTATAGATTTATCTGAAGCACTTTGACCCAGAAAGCAGACACCTCAGACGGGAGCGTGTTAGGGAGGGTAGGCCGACAAACATCACAGTTGTGACGACGGACAGTAATGAGGAGAAGAAGATTCTGGGAGATCTGCAGCCCTACTCCCATTACTCACTGACTGTAAGTGTCTTTAATCATAAAGGAGAAGGACCCCAGTCTGAAGCCCTCACCTTCCACACTCCAGAAGGAGGTAAGAACGTGAGACAAAAAGTAAAAATAGTTGAAGAAAGGTGAGGGCTTCAAATTCTGTCATCCATTTTTTTCAGTACCTGGTCCTCCATCATTTTTACAGCTGGAAAGCCCTTCAGAGACAGAAATGATACTGCGTTGGTCTGCGCCCAACCAGCTAAATGGAGTCCTGACTGGATACATATTACAGTATCAACAAGGTGTGTTAACTAACACCCTGATTCATTCTCATTGGGATTATTAGAAGCAGTTTGTTGAGGAGAGGGATTTTTGCCTGGTATACAATACAAAGGTTGAAAAAAATCCCAGAGATTTACATTGAAGGAAGGAAATAATCTGTCTAGACACTCTTTTGACTTGGCTAAGTAAAAAAAAAAACAGCAAGCATCTAATCAGAACACCCTAGATATCACCTAGCAATGCCCTAGTAACCACCCAAGCACTCAAAACACCTTGGCAACTCCTTAGAAACCACACCCTAGAAACAACCTAGAAACCACACTATCAGCTGCATAGCAACTAAAAAAACTGTTAAAATACCTTAGCAACTACATAGCAACCCCAAAACACTTAGCCTCTGCATAGCAACACCCTGGAAACCACCTAGGACACCCTAGCTGCTTAGCAACAAACAAAACACTTTCAAAATACCTTAACAATATAAATGACGTTTGAACTACCACCCATAACATCTTAGCAACTGCATAGCAACACACTAAAAACACTCAGCACCCCAGCAACACTTTAGAAAGCACCTAGAACACCCTATCAACTATATAGCAACTCAAAAAACGTTCAAAACACCTTAGCAACTGCGGAGCAATGCAAAAAACAAAAAAACAATCATCATCTTAGCAACTGCTTAGCAACAAAAAAAACACTCACAAAAAAAACACACACAAATATCTTAGCAACTGCATATAAACAAAGTCCCTTTAATGCCGGGGCCACACTTAACGACTAGCTGAAACATTCTAAGACTGAACTGAACACACTTACAGACTGTTTCCAACGACTGGAGTAGATTTTAGACACAGACTGTGAACAACGACTAAACGCAACTCTCTCTGACTCGGCGCGTTTGGGCATGATCAGTCGTAAGTATCAAATTACATTTATAATCGGCCTTACAGTCGTTAAGTGTGTCCCCTGCTTAAGACAAGTCATTTCACTTGGCGGTCATCTTTGAAACGCCTCTCGGGCATGCAAGTGCATCTCCAATCTCTTTGAATGTGGAAACATCAAGTTCTCCAAAACTGTTCGCCAAGCTTACAATTAAATTTTATATTTGAAATCACCATTGAAAACTGTCTCATAAATTTGGTTTCTTAACGCTTGATTCATGACAAAAAACAGCATTTTTCGCATGCCCAGTCCTAAGCGTGCGTCTCAGAACACTGACTGTTTCTATAGGAACCGGAGCTTATAACGGCAGCTGCTGTGATGCGATAATTACCAATCAGGGAATGGCTCTTTTCTTTAAAAGGCGGGACTTATTCCACCATATTGCGTGTTACACTTTCTCTCATTTAAAGTAATACGAGTGCACCATCTTTCTGTATATAAATTCTATGATATAAATACACTCAGAAACACCTTAGTAATTGTATAGAAATGCACAAAAATGCCCGGAATGCCTTCGCAACTTAATAGCAACACACTAAAAAAACACTAGTAGTGCTTTGTGGTTAAAATTTTTGAACAACTATAACTACTTAATATAAACTCACCAACCTATATTTAAAACAATATCCCCCCCCCCCCATATTTCTCTGCAGTTGATAATGAAGACAGCCCTATGCGGATAGAAAAGATTGGCGACCACGCCAATCACTTCAAGTTAAACCTGGACCCTCGCAGCCGTTACCGCTTCCACCTGCGGGCACACACGGCTGCTGGAGAAGGACTGCCAATCATCATGGAGGGAGCTACCACACTGGATGGAGGTCCAATACTTAACGCATCACTGAATGATTTATCTGGACATAGAGTTGTATCTAACTGCACATGGGTTTTGAGGGGTTTTACATGATGAAGGAATGTTTTCACACACATTTTAAACACTATGTCCTAACCAGACATGATGCAAGTAATTTGTGTGTCCACACTGAAAATTTGTTGAAATGTGACACAATCAGTGTTGGGGAAAGTTACTTTTAAAAGTAATGCATTACAATATTGTGTGTTACTCTCCCTAATAAAGTAAATAATTGAATGACTTTTTATGGGATTATGTTACTTTTTCTCACATTGGCTGGGCTTGCCTGTTTTTTTGTTTTGTTTTGTTTTTTTGGCAAAAGTTAAATGAATAATCCTCAGGCTGAAGGAAATGCAAATTCACGGCTGTACAGTAGAGGGCACAGCTCAAACAAACCTTTGAGCTCTGCAGCCATTCTTGATTGTAGAAGAATAGGATCCAGGAGAAGAAAGTTGGGCTGTGTCCCAGTTCAAAGGGTGCATCCTTCGAAGGTCAGACTAAGCGTTGTTAAATGGGACGGTCTAGCTTACGGAGGACTGTTCTTGTCACCTAGCATCTGTGACAGCTGCCGTTCACAAGCGGCAGTGACGTTTGTACTGGAGTTTTTTTAGAGCTATATTAAACTGTCTGAAAATAAAAGAGGGTTCACGAGTTGGTTCTAAATATGTTCACCATGGTCCACTTCTGTGTATAATAAATAGTATAAACTATATATAATTGCATCTTAGTGAGATATGTAATTTGAACAGCTTACAATTATTTTACATTTGTATCATTAGATATTTGACTAAGCTGAAACCCAATACTTGCGTTTAAAAGTGTATTTCGGCAATTTCTCTAAAAAAAATCCTATCATCACTGGCACACAATGAATTCTGGGGTAGGCAAGGCCACGAAGGATCCACCTGTTGTATCCTTCATTTAATGAGAAACAAAGGATAACCATCATGTTCACACAGCGCACACAATACCTCTGCACTTACTCATAATTTCTCTCAACATGAGGACAGCATAGGTCTCAGTCAATAAATGGGAATTAGAAAATATATGGGAAAAAGAAATTCAGAAATTTTGTTACTTGAATGCGTTACTCCCAGCACTGGACTAAATCACTGCCAATCAGAACATATTTGATTTGTATTGGAACAAACGAATTTGTTTAACAAACAACCATCAGATTTAAGGGTGTGTAAGTGTGACTTGTTTTGTTTCTGTGTGTGAACAGGTCCACCCTCCAACATTAGCTTATCGATTGGAGAGACATCAGTCAACCTGACCTGGGTGTCGAAAGAAAGACAGAGAAATGTGGGATTCCATATTCATTACCTGAGAGATGGTACGTGCTATATAGACAGGATGTGATGGAGAATGATTGAGAATTGAGAATGAGATTGAGAATGAACACAAGCTTGTTTATCAAATAGCAAATCAGGAAGTAGCAGCTTTATTACCTGATCTCTTAGTTAGTAGTTAGTTAGATAGTGCCTCTATTTTTCCTGTACCCTTTGTTCTGATTTAGATTGTACTGTGTTCTGTCCAGGCAAAGGCAAATGGAAGCACTCTGAAAAAGTAAACAGCTCTCAGTCTTTCTACACGCTGCAGGGGCTCCAGCCCGGATCGCTGTACTACCTGCGGATTTACTTCGGAAACAAGACTATCTGGATGGATGAGATCCAGACCGCTGGAACAAGTAATCACAAAACAGCCCTCTTAATGCTTTTTATAATAAATGTGCTATTGTGCAGACCACAAAAGAGCTTTCATGAACACCACATTTGAAGATTATAACTTTTATATTTGGGCTGGAAAATGGAGTTTAGAAGATGTTTTCTTGTAACCTTGATAGTTCAGCCAAAAATGAAAACTGTCTTCATTTACTCTCTTTACCCTCATCTTGTTCCAACCCTGTATGCTGTTGTTTATTTATTTAAATTTAAAAGTCAATTTGTGTAATATTTTATATACTGTGATTTTTATAGTTTCTTTCAAGCTTCAAAAAGAATAAGTAACATCATAAATGTAATATAAACTGTAACTGTTATTAAACTGTAATATTTTAGAATGTAATTTATTCTTTTGATGGCAAAGCTAAATTTTAGCATCATTACTGCAGTCTTCAGTGTCACATGATCCTTCAGAAATAATTCTAATATGCCGATTTGGTGAATAAAAGTGTTCATTAAACCCCCAAACGGTAGTGTAGGTTTTGAATGACAAAGAGTAAGAGTAAATGATGATGGCATTTCTAACTATCCCTTTAATATCAAACGAAGTGTCAGGAAATTCATAACAGCATTTCTCCCCTCTGCTTAAGTAGAAATGGAGAAACGGGATGGGTTTGTGACTGAAAGCTGGTTCATCGGACTCATCAGCGCCCTTGTGCTATTACTGCTGGTGCTGCTTATTCTGTGTTTCATAAAACGAAGCAAAGGTGGAAAATACTCAGGTATACACTTCCAACAGCGCACACATCATTCTATTAACCATCTTATTTGCGATTAGTCACCTGACAGTACTAACAAATTGTGTTCTCCTTACAGTTAAAGAGAAAGAAGAGGGCCAGATAGACTCTGAAGCTCGGCCAATGAATAATGAGGCTTTTGGAGAGTACAGGTTTGGTGAAGTTTGTTAGACAGATTATTGCAGAAACTTCCTTTCTCTTTCTTTCTTCTTATGTTCTTTCTTTCTCTCCCAAATGCTCTTCCCAATGATTTACAGATCTCTTGAGAGGTATGCTTTGCAGTGGCATCGTGTTCTTTAGCATGCGAAACGTTCTCAATACTTACTCTTGTAACTTTTTGACGTCACACTTGGTGTATATTTGTAGCTTTATTTCTATCCCCCCTCACACTTTTTGCACAGTGACAACGAGGAGAAGCGGACGGCCAGTCAGCCGTCTCTGTGCGAGGACAGTAAGCTATGTACCGACGATGCTCTAGACGACTACGCCAACAGCAACAGCGTGCAGACCGAGGTCCTCATGGACGAGTCACTGGCCAGTCAGAGCAGCGGAGTCCGAGATGTTCCTGACCCTGAGACTCAGGAAAGTTCCCCTCTAAATCCTGCCACAGCCATCTCCCACCACGGCCTGCCCAACTCCGCCGCCCTCCTTGACTAGCCGGGCGAGACCGAGACCAAACGTGGATTCACACATGTGCCCACCTGTTGCAACCGCTCATGATTTACCAACTAATCAAAAACCCACGATAATAAGACCTACACACACACAACAGACGCCAAGAAAACCCACCAGAGCCACTGCTGGAACTTACTTCAGACGTAATTGGACCAACACAACACTTTTAACACAGCCAGAGGAAAACATTCGACTGACATATAACAAATAGACTGCCATGCTCGTTGTTTACAGATCTTATCTCTCATTTTACGATATAAAATAGGCTATAGCAGTTTACAGTTATACAGACGTGACAAGAACATCTCCAGAAGAGACCTCTTTGATAATCCGGTGAACTATAAAGCATACACCGAGCTCCTGTGGCAGACACCAAATCAAACATGGAGTCGGATTCACCTGTTAGTCAATAAAGAAGCGTTGTGGAAGGAGGGTGCGAGAGAGAAGAGAGAAGCTGAAGGCCTTAAAATCATGACTAAGTGCGTTGTGCAAGCGTATAGACAGCGTGAGCTGGTTATTCTGGTTGCAAAGTTTAATCAACTTATTGTGTTTTGTGCGTCTCTACCATTTTGTTTACCATTTTGCCTGAACCATTTTTATAATTACTTTTTTATTATTAATTTATTTTTTTAACGCAAGGATCACTTTTGTGTCGTGTTTTAAAGGTGCTTTAAGCAATGTCAGCCATTATGAAACTTCTGAGTCTTGGCCACTTTTCCAAAACCCTACCCTACAAAGATTAGCCCCTGCTGGTAGATGCAGTAACTACACCATCTGCTACTAACTAAAAACATATTTCTCCATCAAAATTCGCAATGTAGTCTGTCTGACAGAAGAATTTTTTTGCAAACTCTCCAAAAAAAAAAAATTATATAATAGTAGATGTTTGATTGGTGCCCAATTTCTTTCTGGCTCTTGAAAGGCAAACTGATCTTATTGTAAATGATCATTTAATTTTTTGTCTTTTATATTTAATAAAAACGTGATATAACAGCCTTTTAGTCCGCCTAAACCCCGCCCCTTACTTACAATCAACTGCAGATGGATGGAACCAATTTCCTGCCCTCCTTTTTTTCATTCCATAAAATTTGCTTATGGCACCTTTAAGTCATCTGTACATTGATTTGTTGTAATATAATCGTGATTCAATAGAAGATACATATCGGCATCCCCTCAGTTACGATTATAGAGTTCCTTAGTGTAAATACATGAGATGCAATGACTCTACGACATAAGATCGTTTATAGCAAGCTGTACAAATAAGCATCTATCAATTTAGCCAAATACAGTATTATAATCTCTTTCATCTCCATCGGTTCCTGTGCCTGCCTATGACAACATACTCACCACCATCATCTCTCATCTTTATTTCTCCGTCTGTCTGTGTCTGTTTTTAATTCTTGTTTTCTGCATTGTATTAAACTGTAATGATTGATTCTCTCTTGCAGTCCTGTTGGTGTAAAGCCATAAGAATACACACGTAAGGTGCGTAGTTGTGAGGTCATATTGAGTTAGACAGGGTTGTGAGAGAGTACGTCACACACACACAGTTTAGTTTGGTTACGTAAAATGCAATCATGTATTGGCTTGTGTCTTATTACACAGAATGTATGCTTTGTTTGGGTGGGAATTGTTCCATACCAGTATACCAAATAGCATTTGTTCCCTTTTTTGCTTTTTGGTTCATTTGATTTGACGTTTAATAAACAAATATAGCAGAATATAGCACTGAGAGAATCTATGGCACATTTGGTATTTCTCAAGAGAGGGGCACAGGGGAAAAAAAATCTCTTACTTTCCAGATGAATGTAAATATAGCCCACAAGATTGTTTGTTATGACTTTGAAAACTGTCTTGTTGATTACGTTTTAGGTTTTGAAATTTGTTTTGTAACTTTTTTAACTTTAAAGTAACTTGTTAGTTGTGATTTGAGTGTGGTAGATAAGTAGTGCATAGTTTAAAAAAAAAAAAACTAAGAAAAAGTCCTTTGATAAATAAATGTTGCAGGTTCTTAAAAAAAAAAAAAAAGCTGATTGGATAAGAGACGAAAAAAAGCTAATTGAAGCTACCGGCAAAACACGATTGCGCTTATAGTTTCCCGAGTGCTGAAGAATGGCAGTATTGTGCGTATCTGATTAGAATCTATTGCTGCAGAGGCGGTGCGAGAGGAAGCACGCAGTCATCTTATTTTGCACACACACACACACACACACACACTTCCAGGGAGCGATGGAAGCGTGCTGACTCAGATCTTTGAGACCACTGTCTTGTGGCGGGCTTTTGCAGTGATTCCCAGCCCTCTGGGAAGGGTCTGCACGATCTGTGTTAGCCTCCCTCACAAAAGCTGTACAGACACACTCAGGACAAAAGTCTCTAAGAGATCTATTTTCTTACAGGAGGGGGAAGTGATGCAAATTATATTCAACTCAATATTCAACTGAACTGCTGCTAGGCGACTTGTGTATTCTGTCAGTGTCTTGACTGTGTATTGAGCTCGGAGGTGAATCGACTCTCAGATATCCACTATACTGCCCTCTGCTACTGCAAATAAAACTGGGTGGGAGGGCACCATTTAAAGCTTGACTAGCGAACGAACGTTGCCGTTTCTGTTGTTACTTGTCAAATGTACGCATTCAAGCTCATAATGCATCTTAAACTGTAGGCTTAATGCATAAATAAGCTTGACATAATAGTCTCTTATTCCTCTTGTATGTTCTGTTTGTTACTGCATATGATGTGAAAATAAATGAAGGACCAGATGAATGAGGCTGTGGGACTGTATTGGTCACATTCCCCTGTGGTCTTTGTGGACTGAAGGGGTCAGTAAGGGTGGGCTACGTTAACTAGATATGAACTGGCTTTTGATATTGTATCTGCATCACCAATCAGCCAGTGCAAGTAAATACTTCTTAAATAAAATCAATGGAATCATCTACAGTTTGTTTGTTTATGTGAAAATACATTGCTATATACAATTTGATGAAGGCAACTGTTATCTATGATATCTCTAAAAATCCAATTTATGAATGTCAAACATACGCAGTGCTTTGAAACCCACTAGAACTTTATTTCTTGTGCAGGAGAAGGATGGAATGGGATGCTGCTTTATCGAGAGCTTGTGTTGAACTGGGTAAAGTACTGAACTTTGGGACGGTTTGTATACAGCTGCCTGTCCAGGTAGTGTTGGCTGAAAAACAAGAACAACAAAAAAAGTTTCTAAACATCCAAGAATGACTTTATTCTCTAATAGCCACGAGCATTATTATATCAAAAAAATGTAATTCGAATTTTCTTAGAATATACATCCACACAAAAAAAGTATTTATTATTAGGAACTTGCTTTCGGCGTTAGTGTCAAAATAAACTTGAAATTTTACTTTTGTAATGTAACGTACACTGCCGTTCAAAAGTCTGGGGTATGTTTTTTTTATTTTTTGAAAGAAGTCTCTTATGCTCACCAAACCTGCATTTATTTGATCAAACTGTAGAAATAATAAGCAATATAGTGAAATAATATTACAATTTAAAATAAATGTTTCCTATTTAATACTATTCATTGTATTTAAATTATAATATTTAAATAAAAATGGCATTGTATTTATTGTATAATTTATTTAAATTATATTTTTCAATGACACATAATCCTTCAGAAATCATTCTAAAATGCTAATTTGGTGCTCAAGAAACATTTCTTCTTCTTCTTATTATTATTATTAATGTTGACAACAGTTGTGTTTTTATGGAAACCATGATAGTTTTTCAGGATTATTTGATGAATAGAAAGTTCAAAAGAACAGCATTCATTTGAAATAATATTTTGTATCAATGTAAAAGTCTAAGAGAGTCTCTACTGTCACCTTTGATCAATTTAATGCATTCATATATCCAAGTCAAACAGAATATATTCAACAAGAAAAAATGCAGGATGGGACTTTTGATAGTCAAAAGTGACCCAATTATTGTCATTACAACATATTGGAATTATTTGACTATTACTGTAAATAATTTGTGGTCTAGCTGACATCAGCTAAAAATGAAAGGTTTTTGATTTAAAGAATACAAAAACACTGGAATAATGTACACAATTGAATTGTACACCTGGAACATTTTATGTTGACTTTACTACTCTTTTGTTTAATTCTGCTTGTGTCCTGCTGTGTTTTCTTTATGAATGTGGCACTCACTGCGCTCGCTGCTCTCGTGCCAGCTGTTGGTTGTATTTATCGAGCTGAGCTCTCCTCTCTCTCTGCAGCTCCTTGTCTCTTGTCTCCTCTCTCTCCTGCTGTCTGGCCTGCTCTGTCAGATGGTAATCCCAGGCCAGATCTCTCTGCCTCTCCATCTTTCTCAGTCTCTGGTGAAATTGGAAGGAGAGAAAAGAGGATTACTTTCATGATGATGTAGCACTTGTCTGAATTATTAGCAGTAATTTAGTAGATATTCTTTTTACTTTAGTTTTATAATAAAGATAAGATTTGAATTTCGTCAGAAGGATTAGGTATCGCTAAGGAGACAGCGGGTTGTCATGAAAAGTAACAGACAGACACAAGATTAGAAGTATAATTGGGTTCACTTTAAATAAAAAATAGAAAATTTGTCAAGTTAAAGAAAGTAAAATCACAAAATCACATAAACAATAGTCAAAACGATTGACTATGAAAATTCCCACCTCGAGTGCACTCTTGTCGGTGTTTTCATATATATACTCACATAGTCAGTTTAACACTCAGAAAGAAAATAGAAAATAACAAACAAGATGCAACAGAAAAGAGTATAATCTCTCTCTCTTGAGACCCTTAAGTGTCTCACGTAAAAGTTCCAATGTCTCTCAAATCTGGATTGTGGTTGACCCTCAAAAAAAAAGAAGAAAAATAGTTCTTAAAATCAAATTTGTGATCGAGTACGAGTAGCACTGGAAACTCAAGGAAAGGATATCGGCCTCCTCTCCACAACGTGATGTCTTCTCCCTTTCTAAAGACTGGGTTGGCTCGCCATCAAACACGGAATCTACAGGATGTCACAGAAGGTCGTGCAGTCATCACATCTCCACGATATCAAGAAGAAAGAAAAGAAAAGAAAACGGAAAAACGAAAGGAGAGAAAAAAAAAAACCTGGCCTGATCACAGACCAGTACATTCATTTAGTACATTTCAAAATAAGTTCCACATCAAAGATACAGAATAACATCTAATACACATTTACAATTACCATTTCTTCATGAAATAATATAATCACATTAATTTACCTCTGAATCAATAGCTCTCTTTCTAATACAGACACGTGGCCAACAATGGCGACGGTGAACTCTGAAATGAACAAATAATAACCATGCGGTTCACTATAACCGCTCAACTGAAGTAATCAGATAACCAGTAACATAAAGTACAAATATATTTTTTTCACAGAATTGATTAACTAATTATTTACCTTTGTGATCGATTTTTCTTTTGCTCTCACACAGGCGCAACTACAGGCGTGCGTGATCATAAAATGGCGTCGGTGAACTGCAATGTACAATGACCACGCGGTTTACTTCAGACATTTATGACTACTCGGATCAAAATACAATTTTAAGAGAAAATAACCAGTCCACAGCAACTAAGTTAAAGTTTAGTAGCAGTAATTCTATCGTATTATGAAGTAATACAGTCTTTTTATCATTAATTATATGATACTAACTCACCAAGTAGAATGTATTCCTCAATTCAGTCGGCTTCTTATTCAGAATGGATCAAACTAATTAATTCTCAAGCTTTCTCGTATTATTTCAAAGATTTTCAATCAAAGATGTATAAAAACGGATCACGACGATCAGATTGCGTCTGCTCTTCTCAATCAAGCTCGTCTCTTCTGTCATTGCGCATGCTCGTCGACACCCATGACTCAAATGACAAAGAGCTCTCATTGGTTGATCACTGAGCTTTTATCTAAAATGAGTTCGCAAATTTATTTATTATATATTATTCACTTTTTTCATCTCTTATCAACTTTTATTAAGGGAACAGATCACTAAATTGTGTTTAAATTAAATTAACTTTATTTAACCTGTGTTACATTCTCCCCTCCTAAATTCATGCAAGTCCCTTTGCATGTTCTGCTTGGCTGACTGGTGACCACACTGTGTAAACCATTAGGCAGCAAGGGAAGGACATTCAGATTTTCATCTCCACCAAGAGATTTAACAAAAGCCGAATTCAGACCTTGGAACAAAGATTGGACCACATATATTAATGGGTTTCCTGGCTGAAAATAAGTAAGTCGCTCTGGTTCTCCTCTCTGTCTAACAGAACGCCTCGGTAAGGTGTCTATCTCATCTTCTGATTGTTGTTCTGCTTTTACAGGAACATCTGAACTTTCAACAACACTGGTTACTTCAACTTCATCAACAGAACTACCCATTACAGCATCGACTTGGCCCTTATCAGGTAAGTTACTTTGTTCAAGGACACCGGGAACATTAAGAGGTAAGTGTTCACCAGGTGTATCGAAAGGTAAGTATTCATCAGGATTACCGACTGGTAAGGCTTCAATAAGTAAATTATTACTCTGGTCGCCCTGCAAAGTTTCGCCGGTTGAGAAAGTTTGTTCGGCTGAGGTATCAGCAGAATCAGCGCTCACGGTCTCTTTTTCCGCACAGATATCATGAACTGTAGAGAACCGTACTGTCTCTATATTTGGAGTACGACTGTACTCACAATACGAATTTCCTTCTTCAGGATCAGAGAGAGAAGTGTCATCAATTAACGGAACCTTAGGATTCTGTCGTGTTCGAGGTCTTGAGATGGATTTGTTTAGAGTGGGTGGTTCAACTTCGGGAGACGGTAAAAACCCACACGGGAGCAACAGATCTCTGTGAAGAGTACGCAGAGGACCGTCCTTTCTCTCTGGACGAACAGTATAAACTGGCAATTCAGCTGCCTGACTCACCACAACATACACCTCAGACTCCCACTTGTCTGCTAACTTGTGCTTCCCGCGTATCCTAACGTTCCTCACTAACACTCGATCACCAATCTCCAAAGAACAATGAGTTACGGATTTGTCAAACCTAGCTTTGTTTCTTTCTGCACTTTTTGACATACCACGTGACGCAAGCGAATAACTCTCTTTCAGATTGGTTTTTAGATGCTTGACATACTCGGAATGAGACTGTCGCAGACCATCTTGATACGGCAACCCAAAAGCAAGGTCGACGGGTAACCTGGGTTGACGTCCAAACATCAATTCGTAGGGAGTGAACCCAGTGACCTCATGTTTCGTGCAATTGTACGCATGAGCTAAAGGTTTTACAAAATCTCTCCAACGAACCTTGTCCTTTTCTTCTAAGGTACCCATCATACTGAGCAAGGTCCTATTGAAGCGTTCGACCGGATTTCCCCTGGGATGATAAGGGCTGGTTCGGGATTTTTTAACACCTGCCATTTCACAGAGCTCTTTAATGGTACGTGATTCAAAATCTCGGCCCTGGTCGCTATGAAGACGCTCGGGGAACCCATAATGCACAACAAAATTTTCCCAAAGACATTTTGCTACCGTCCTTGCCTTTTGGTTGGGTGTGGGGACTGCCACAGCATATTTGGTAAAGAAGTCAGTGATTACCAAGATGTCTCTCGTGTTACTCTTGTCCGGCTCTAATGAGAGAAAATCCATACAGACCAACTCTAAAGGTCTTGTGGCTTGGATATTAACCAGCGGTGCAGCTTTTTGAGGCAATGATTTCCTCCTCACACAACGACCGCATGTTCGGATCTTTTGTTCTACTTCCGCAGCCATCTTCGGCCAATAGAAACGAGACCTTACTAAATCTAGAGTTCTCTCTACCCCCATATGACCCATACTGTCATGCAAACTGCTCAATACAGAGGGCCTCAGTTTCTCAGGTAGCACGAGTTGGTAAGTAACTAATTCCTCTACTTGCCGCTTCCGATAAAGCACCCCATCTTTTAACTCAAGACGGTTCCACTCTCTTAGAAAGAAAGGAAGATCTGGGAGTTCCCTCCTGACTGTTGGCGGAGGCTTTTCTCCCGACTCTAAGAAAGACACTACTTCTCGAATGACTGGATCTGCCCTTTGCTCGTCACAGAGGTTCCCTGACAGGTAAGATACAACAGGTAACCCCTCTAAATCACCTTCTTGTGCGTAACTATCAGGTACTGCATCAGGGTGAAGTGCAAGAGACTCAACAAAAGCAGCACCAGACCCAACGTCCGTTGGCGGTCTGACCAGATGCTTCTCACATATCGCCTGAACTACGTCACTTGCGGTGTCACACGAATCTGCAGCTTCCGCGAGATGATTCTGCATAAACTGTTGAATTCGTTCGTACTCTTTTTGCGATTGAGGATTTTCAGGCAATTGTTCCTGCGGTCGCCTTGATAGACCATCAGCATCAGCATTTAACTTGCCTGCTCTGTACTGTAACTTAAATGAAAAAGTGGAAAGGGCAGCAAGCCACCTGTAGCTAGTCGCATCTAGTCTCGCCGTGGTTAGAACATACGTTAAAGGGTTACTGTCTGTAACGACGGTGAATTGGCTACCATACAAATAATCCCTAAACTTTTCAGTTACTGCCCATTTAAGGGCAAGAAACTCAAGCTTATGCGCCGGGTAATTGGACTCACTGCGGGATAACCCTCTACTTGCATATGCAATGACTCGCATCCTCCCTTCCTGTTCCTGATACAGGGCTGCTCCTAAACCCTTGGTGCTGGCATCTGTATGCAGGAAGTAGGTAAGTTTAGGGTTAGCAAAACCCAACACAGGCGCAGTAGTCAGGTTGTCGATAACAGACCGAAACGCTTCCTCACAAAGTGGGGTCCAACGGTCTCCGAACGAATCTTTAGGGTTATGGTATGAACCCTTACTCTCACTCCGTTTAACACTTTTCCTAGTCGGCGGATACCCTACGGTCAGATCGGTGAGTGGTTTCACAACCCTAGAGTAATCCTTAATAAAACGGCGATAATACCCCGAAAAGCCCAAAAACGACCTTAACTCCTTAAGGTTTTTGGGACTCGGCCAGGTTTTTAAGGCTTGTATTTTCTCCGGATCAGTCTCAACGCCGTGCTCAGACACAATGTGCCCTAAATAACGAACGGACGTCTGAAAGAACTTACATTTCTCAGGGGCGAGTTTTAGCCCATACTCTCTGAGCCGAGAAAGAACTTTTAACAGCCGTCTTTCATGCTCTTCCAAAGTTTCAGAAAATATGATTAGATCGTCAAGGAATACAAGTACTTCCCTGAGATTGATATCCTCCATACACTTCTCCATCAATCTCTGAAAAGTACTTGGGGCATTAGTGACCCCCTGAGGCATGCGATTAAACTCCCAAAACCCCAGGGGACAGACAAAGGCGGTTTTAGGTTTGTCTGCTTCTTCCACCTCTATCTGGTAATACCCAGATTTCAAGTCGAGTACCGAGAACCATTTTGATCCGGTTAAGGCGGAAAACGTCTCCTCGAGATTGGGTAATGCATATGCGTCTTTAACGGTTTGTAGGTTTAACTTCCTATAGTCTATGCACAACCGTACATCTCCGTTTTTCTTCCGCACTACTACGATAGGTGAAGAAAAGGACGACTCAGACTCTCGGATAACGTTACTCGCAAGAAGATCGCGCAGATGTTTGCGGACGGCTTCCAGATCTTGCGGATGGATCGGTCGCGCCCTATGTTTAAAGGGAGTTTCATCATTAAGTTGTATACGATGTTTCACTTTTTGTGTATGCCCAAAATCTAGATCGTGCTGACTGAAAACATCAGACATTTCTCTGAGTTTTTCTGAGATGCGGTCCCGCCATTCTTGTGGCATGGGGGACTCACCGAAATTCAAGGCGAAATTGGATCCCTGAGTAGGTAAGTGCTCACTAGCCGGGGAAACACTCGACTGAGGAAGCACGGACTCAACTGCATGCAGCTCTGCTATTATGCATCGTGGGGGAATGGTTATATCATGCTCTGTTTCGTTTTTTAGTACCACAGGCAACCAGACAGACTGACTACTAGAAGGGGTAAGTAAGCAGCGCTTCACAAACACACCACCAGGCAAGGAGGATTCAGACGGGTGTTCTACCACTACACGCTTATCTATCCCACCTGGTACTGCAACAGAACCCTTCACTACGACAGTTTGACCAGCGGACATGACCTCCGGTACGTTGCCTCTTAATCTCACATGACCCAGAACACCACTCGTGTTCTGCTTTCGCCTCGTTTCAAGGGTTTTCAAAACCACTCTATACCCAAATAGAGATGGCTGGTGCTTCTGGGATTCTGCTTGTAACTGCTGCTCATAAAGGATGTCAAGAGCGTTGGTACCTATTAAGATCAACGGCTGAGCGTGAGACTTCACATCTGGAACAACTAAAGCTACCGTGGCCACTTCAATAGTCACACCCAAAAACTCTTCAGGGAACGTGATGTCTACCTTTACGTAACCCTCGTACGGAACGGACAACCCATTTGCGCCTTCTACCTCTAATATATCGTCAAGAGGGTTAATCGGCTGCTCTGAGAGGTGTTGTTCATAAAAAGACTTAGGCACAGTCGTGACCTGGGATCCAGTGTCTAGTAGACAATGACATTTCTTACCAGCTATGCTGACTTCGGCAACACACCTAGCACCAACTAAGCCCTTAGGTAGGTTTGCATTCTGCTTCCTAGAAGTTTGGCATTTCTTGAAGACACGATTTACAATGGGACCATTTGACTTTAACTCAGTTCCTGTATGGCCCACGACAGGAACTGACTCTAGTTTAAATCAGAGCTAGTAGGGAGATTCTGTGACTCCCACTGTAACTGTTTCTCTCTTAACAGCCTACGTTTAGCGGCGACAAGCTCGGGATTTGGCTCAGAACTACAAGACGATGCGATGTGGCCATCCTCACCACACGTGAAACAGTACCACGGCCTAGGTCTATCAGTTGGTTTCTTGTTGACCGGAACTACACTCGCGGCAGCCCCTGACTTTCTTTGGTCAGGTGGTGCAGGCTTGTTGACAACCTCTCGCGACGGAGCTTTCTTTGGATGTTTTGATCGGACTGCAAGATTAGCTAACTGACTCTGAAGTTTGACAATCTGCTTCTTTAACTCGCGCGTTTCGGTTTCAAGAGAGCTCACTCTAGGACCTTCGTCTTGTTCTAATTCAGCAGAAACCCACGCTTTCTGAGAGTGCATAAACGCTCTCTGCTTAGAGGACCCAAGGTGTTGCTTCATTCGAGTTGCTTTCGCAGTATGTTTATCCTCCTCTGTACGAAGCATAAGCAGAAGCTGTGCAAAGGAAGGAGGATTGTTTCGCTTTTGCTCTAGTCGTAGTTCGGTGATTAAATCATTATCCCAGCAGCCCCTGCAAAACTGCTTCAGAAGGTGCCTATCTGCCTCTCCTGGGACGATACCATCTCTTTTGACAGTTGCATTTAAAGCTGACTGTAGCCTGTACAGATAAGTGGACGGCCTTTCACCCGCATCCTGCAACGTGTTCATGAATTTGGCTAATAATTCATCCCCATCCTCCACAGCCCCGAAAGCGGAGTCTAACAGCTGGAGGTAAGCGGAAGGAGGAGATTCAGGATTCAGATGCTTTATAACATCTGCCGCAGGTGGCAAAAGACTGTCTAGTATTCGCCTAGACGCATGCAAATCGGACAAAGAGGGATCTTTCAAAATGAATTCGACACTAGAACGCCAAATGTCGTAATCTACCTCGTTGCCAGGCCTGGGGCATTTTCCTGAAAATACTCTGAGCCTGGGCTGTACATGCCCTTGAGCAACCATTTCACTGCTCCGCACAACATGCTCAACTACTAGTTTTTGGACCTCGGGCGGGTTGAGAAATTTAGACGACGTGCGAAGGGTCGGCTCAATCAAATCGATAGGAGTAGGTTGTGACGCTACGTCATCTATCTGACTCGGTGGATTACGAATTGGGTTGAAGTTCCCATCAGGAGATGCCCAATATGGTTTCTCACAGGTGTTTTCACCAGTACTACCAGAAACAGCGGGCTCTGGTGGGAGGTCAGCACTCATTTGCGACAGCATTTCACTCAGTATAGACTCAAAGTTGTTTCCGCTCAGTTCCGCTATTTCTTTTAATCTGTCCAGGTAGGACTTTGTTATGCTACTACCCAGTTGCTGTGTAAACACACTGGCTAACGCTCTCACATGGCACTTAGCACCGGGTTCGCTTGACAGCTGGTGAGTATACGGCAATGTTGGTCCAAGTGATTGCATCGCTTTATTACTGTTGTACTCAACGATCACGTTTTGGTAGAACTCGGATTCTTTGTCGTCAATGCGCACGGTTTTGACAAACGACCCGTGTCGTTTCAGAGCATCAAACAATTCATCATCACTCGCAACGTCGGTTAAACCACTAACTATTACGGAGTTTGGGATAATAATCCCTTCAGCTTCAATAATCTCCATTATCGTCGCTTGCTTGAAAGCAAAAGGGATATAAAATGTGTAGCTGTTAGTTCTCAACAACAGCGCTGTCTCCTGGCTGGCTCGCCAAAGTTTATGTAGCACTTGTCTGAATTATTAGCAGTAATTTAGTAGATATTCTTTTTACTTTAGTTTTATAATAAAGATAAGATTTGAATTTCGTCAGAAGGATTAGGTATCGCTAAGGAGACAGCGGGTTGTCATGAAAAGTAACAGACAGACACAAGATTAGAAGTATAATTGGGTTCACTTTAAATAAAAAATAGAAAATTTGTCAAGTTAAAGAAAGTAAAATCACAAAATCACATAAACAATAGTCAAAACGATTGACTATGAAAATTCCCACCTCGAGTGCACTCTTGTCGGTGTTTTCATATATATACTCACATAGTCAGTTTAACACTCAGAAAGAAAATAGAAAATAACAAACAAGATGCAACAGAAAAGAGTATAATCTCTCTCTCTTGAGACCCTTAAGTGTCTCACGTAAAAGTTCCAATGTCTCTCAAATCTGGATTGTGGTTGACCCTCAAAAAAAAAGAAGAAAAATAGTTCTTAAAATCAAATTTGTGATCGAGTACGAGTAGCACTGGAAACTCAAGGAAAGGATATCGGCCTCCTCTCCACAACGTGATGTCTTCTCCCTTTCTAAAGACTGGGTTGGCTCGCCATCAAACACGGAATCTACAGGATGTCACAGAAGGTCGTGCAGTCATCACATCTCCACGATATCAAGAAGAAAGAAAAGAAAAGAAAACGGAAAAACGAAAGGAGAGAAAAAAAAAAACCTGGCCTGATCACAGACCAGTACATTCATTTAGTACATTTCAAAATAAGTTCCACATCAAAGATACAGAATAACATCTAATACACATTTACAATTACCATTTCTTCATGAAATAATATAATCACATTAATTTACCTCTGAATCAATAGCTCTCTTTCTAATACAGACACGTGGCCAACAATGGCGACGGTGAACTCTGAAATGAACAAATAATAACCATGCGGTTCACTATAACCGCTCAACTGAAGTAATCAGATAACCAGTAACATAAAGTACAAATATATTTTTTTCACAGAATTGATTAACTAATTATTTACCTTTGTGATCGATTTTTCTTTTGCTCTCACACAGGCGCAACTACAGGCGTGCGTGATCATAAAATGGCGTCGGTGAACTGCAATGTACAATGACCACGCGGTTTACTTCAGACATTTATGACTACTCGGATCAAAATACAATTTTAAGAGAAAATAACCAGTCCACAGCAACTAAGTTAAAGTTTAGTAGCAGTAATTCTATCGTATTATGAAGTAATACAGTCTTTTTATCATTAATTATATGATACTAACTCACCAAGTAGAATGTATTCCTCAATTCAGTCGGCTTCTTATTCAGAATGGATCAAACTAATTAATTCTCAAGCTTTCTCGTATTATTTCAAAGATTTTCAATCAAAGATGTATAAAAACGGATCACGACGATCAGATTGCGTCTGCTCTTCTCAATCAAGCTCGTCTCTTCTGTCATTGCGCATGCTCGTCGACACCCATGACTCAAATGACAAAGAGCTCTCATTGGTTGATCACTGAGCTTTTATCTAAAATGAGTTCGCAAATTTATTTATTATATATTATTCACTTTTTTCATCTCTTATCAACTTTTATTAAGGGAACAGATCACTAAATTGTGTTTAAATTAAATTAACTTTATTTAACCTGTGTTACATTGACTAAGAATGGATGCTCAAACGGCACACGTCAGTGCAGGATCTTAACCTCTTTCTCAAGGCACTGTTCCTCTCTCTTTCTGTGGATATCACTGATCTGCTGTGGGGTCATGCCCTTCCAGCGGTCGGTCAGGACTCGTGGACCCTCTGCAGATGATTCTGTTATTCTCTTCGCAGCCTCTGGTCGTTCTGTCAGGAGGTCAGAGGTCACTGTGTACCGTAGCTCTGCCAGATCCTCTCCCTCTCTCCTCAGTCTCTCTTGTCGCTCCCTCTCCATTCTCTCCTCCGCCTGCAAGGGGAGGTCAGATGTTACCTTGACCTTTCACCTCATAGATCTATGGTGCCTTTGTGGGTTTTCGAAATGAAAATTCTGTCAAGATTTACTCACACACATGTAATTTCAAACCTGTGTTTGCACATATTGAACTCAATTACACCTAAAGGCACTGATTCTGTGTCATTTAACCTTTTTTTTTCCCCTTTTTGGAGCTTTACACTCACTATATGCATATGTAGTATTTTATAAAATGGCAGTATGAACATTCTTCAATACATCTCCTGTTCCACAGAAGAAAGTAAGTAATGCGCTGTGTCCGAAATCTCATACTGTCTGAGTAGGTACTACATTTGAATTTGAATTTACTTCGCTAGTGTTAAAAAAGTACAATCTAACATGAATGCGGGTAAAATGACTGAAATTCACTGCCATTCATAAATCCTCTCCCGTGGCCTCATGGGATAGTAAAGTGTCCATCAATTGCACACTTCAGAATCTCGGTGGAAGTAGTAGAACTGGGACTTTCCGCTTAATATTTTTAGAATAACATGTATGTTGGCGTACTGTTTTTTTTTTTTTTGTCTGTAATATAATAGGGAAGTATTTGATTTCGAATGCAGCGATGGTTTCAAACGTCATGAGGGTGAGAAAATAAAGACTGAATTTTCTTTTTTGAGTAAAATAAATTAATTTAGACTGATAACTGTCACATGGTTTTTTTTGTCTTTTTTCCCCATCACATATTTTGGTAATCATTATAAGTTAGGTATCATTTGAAAGATTAAACACTCAAATTCATCCTGTGCAAACCGTGTTTGAAACTGGACTTTTTGTTACAACAGAAATGGTACTTTAAAACCTTTTAGTGGGCTCAAAATTTAGTGGCTTTGATTTTCTAACAATGTTAAGTCCAAATAATTTAGTAAAATATACATTTTGTATAAAATATTTTTTTTTTTATTCAGTATATTTGCTTACAGTAAACTTAAACGGTTACAGTTTATTTAAGGTGCACTTGTTATAGTGTGATTATATCAAATAACTACTAAATGATATGAATTAACAACATGTACTTATAATTAAAGGGATAGTTCACCAAAAAAAAAAAATTTCTGTCATAATTTACTCACCCTCAAGTTGTTCCAAACATGTATGAATTTCTTTGTTGTTTCTGAACACAAAGGAAGAATGTTTGTAACCAAACACCATTGACTTCCATACTATTTTTTCCCCCATACTATGGAAGTCAATAGTGCCAACTTGAGGGTGAGTAAATGATGACAAAATTTTGGGGTGAACTATCCCTTTAAGGTTAGGGTTTGGTTTAGTGTTAGTTGCTTGTAATTATTCACAATGTACTGTTATTACTATAGTAAGTAAATGTGAGATGTGTATGTTACTAGAATGTTTTCATTTAGTAAAAAAATAAAAAAATCTGCTGAGTGTATTCATAATTACAACCATTTATAGTTTAGATCTATGCTCAAAATGGGGATCACAGTTAATAGGTGAATGTTACTACCGGTAACCTAATGAAAATAAACACAAATGATTGTCTTCATTAGTTTAGTGGTGAGGTAATACCTGATCTTGATTGTAACGACTGAGTTCAATGCGAGCCACTCTTTTGCACTCCTCCTCCAGGGCATTCAGCTGCACTGCCCTGAGGTCTTTTTCCACCAACTCCCTGTCGGTTAGCAGCTCTGCACGCACAAACACAGATACAAACTCAGTCCACAGTGAAATATACATACAATACCGTCCTTTCTATTTTAACATTACAGGGCTAAAGGGGATATAATATTATCTGTTTACCTCTGTTTTTCTTTTCCCTTTCTTGTTTCTCTCTCTCCTCCTTTTGAGCTCTCAGGTTTCTCTCGTTCATCTCCATCTCAGCTCTCTTCTTTTCATTCTCATTAATCCCTTCTCCCTGACCGAATGTGCATAAACATATTTATAGAATGTGAATAGTGGTGTCCTGCAGTGTGACATGATATATTTCAGATAAAACATTTTTTTTCTATTATAAAATTAAGTTTTTTAAACTGTTTTAAATGAGAGTATACATTGAATATTAGAACTTTCTTTTGTCACACCAAAGGACTATTTAAATGAGCTACAAAAAGCTAACAGGTGCATACAAATGAAAACCTAAAATACATGCATAAGTTTACAAATAAATATTTCCCTTACACATTCAAAATCAAATATAAATTATAACCTTAGATGCTGATGGAAAAGTTCAAGGTCATGTCATTTGTTGATGTATCAGTCTCCTATAAACACTTACAGTCGTTGCTTACCAAAAACACTTGCATACTGGCGGGTCCCAGTGCTGAGTCTGAGACAGAAATACAGGCATCTGGCGCCTCCTGTCGGTCATAATTGATATCTGCATCACGACTGTCCTCAGCACGTTGATGTATAGCTCGAAACTGTACCATGTCCTGAGCCAGCTCTCTTCGCAACTCATCATCCTCTTTTTTCTGTTGCAGTGCCGTTTCATCCAGGGATAAGCGCAACAGATCTAAATAATAAAGAACAGATCATTTTTTTGTATCTGACGGGGTCGCCCATAGAGGGCGCTGGGGCGCCGACCTGCCTGCCTGTTTTTATATATATGTAATCTCTCATTTTGAAAAATAATCTGTGTTTATTGCATGCTAATAATGGTTTTACTTTAGGATGTGTTTAGAACTCTCCAGAATTATATTTGCATTCACTTTCAACGTCGTTACGTTTATCATGTTGGTGTCATGGTTGGTGTGTAGTAGTAGCCAGTTTGGGGGCTCTGAAAATATCGCCCGTAGTACCAAGATTAGTGCAGTGCACCTGCTGCACCACGGGACATTTACCTGAGAGGAGTGCGATAGTCGTGGGAGTTGAGCTAGCCCCAAATTCAGTTAAATCTCTACACCTGGCTGTATGATGTATCTGTATGCCTTCGAAAGAAGAACATTCTCAGACAAACTCATTGTAAAAGAACTCGGACCAGACAAGCCAGAAGTGACTATAACCCAACAGGCGCTAAAAAAAAAAGGAGATAAATGTGTGTGTGTGATTGTAGCTTGGTGTCTGTTACAGTTACAAGAGTTTAACCCTTGTTTAAGTTCAAGGCCTCGTCTTTTTGGATATATATATATATATTTATTTTATTATTATTATTTCAAAATGTGCTTATAACCCATATATTTTAAATGTATTGTTTGCTTTAAATTAAATTTAGAATTAATGTGCAATTTCAGATCAATTTATTTGTTTTCCTTAAAATTAACACTAACTTTATTCTCATCTGAATTATAAATAATTTATTTATAAAATAATACTACCATTAAAAAACACATTTGATTTTCTTTTTTAATCAATGTAGAATATGTAACTTAGACCATTGGCATTGACTGGTTTGAGTTATTTTACTGGTATAGGCGAGGGACAAGGCTTAAAAATGCACCAGAATACAATATCTACGAAATGCAAAGTTTCTTCACCTAAAAACAGCCCCACCTAGAATATTTTTCACCAGCCGCCACTGGTTGATCCATTGTGGGAAAATGGAAGCAGGAGAAGCACTCTAGGAGAACAGTTTAAATATACAAAAAATAGTTGCTAAATACTTAAACTTTCAGTTTTGGAGCCTGTTTTGGAACGGTACAGAAGTAGCAGCTAACGTTAGTGAGAGACAAACAACCTGCACAAGTTGTGTCTCACCATGAGCCATGTCTCGCTGCTTCTCCATCTCCAGTCGATCTCGTTTGTCGTCCTGCTGTTTGTGGAGCGCGCGCAGGTCCACGCCGATCACGCGGCTCCTGCTGTTGAATATTCGGCTCTTGCGCTCAGCCTCTGCGGCCCGACGCCGCTCCACCGCCCGCTGCTCTGACTCATCCACCGGTAAATCAACCTTGTACATGTTCTGTCGTGTACAAGCACAATTTTAGATTCAAAATCAAACTTCATTATTTTTATCATTTCATTTTATCATGAATAGATAGAGATGAAACCATAAAACTTTACGGGTTAATGTTGGGTTCGATGAACGGCAGTGTGTGTCGGCTCTCCTGTTGTGTTTGAAGCGCAGTTTGGCGTTGTCATGGTAACTGCTGCACACGGTCTATGGCGCGCCTACAGTAATGGGATATGTTTGAAAGACATATATTATTCATGTTAATTTATTTTTCCAATTCAGGGTTATTACTTAACTAAACTAAAACCATAAAAAAGTTATTTAACTGTAATAAAACAGTAAAGAAAATGTACTTGCCAAGGCAGCATTTCTGATTTCCATTACCTTGGCTTTATGTACTAAAATAACTAAACTAAAACTGAAATGAAAATTAAGTAATGCCTATAAAACTATAGGCATATTTAAATAATAATAATAAAATACAAAACAAAATTACTAAACCTTTAAAATGAAACAAAAAAAAAACATATTTAAAATATTGATCAAATAATAGTATCTCAGTGGTATTAAAATAACACTGATTCAAACATAAAAAATAATAATAATAATGTAACCAGGTAAATATTTGGTGCTGGGGCGAGTTTCAGTAAAAGCAGCAGTCTTTAAATAGTTTTATCTCAGCTATGAGTAGCTAATCATTGGTAAGTTTATATTGTAACATTATTTAATATTCAGGACAAATCATTTAACAGAGGCTGGATTTATTCAGGCTGGAATTATATCTTGATGGTCTTTTCAGCAAAACGTGCAGATGAAAAATAGTTTAAAAAAATAGTAAAAATAAAAGAAAAAAACTAAATTAAAAACCATTTTTCTTTGTTTACATTGCAGATTTTGCTGTTGACAAGCTGTAAGGCTTTTATTTTGCCTGCATTCTGCTCTAGACAGGGGGCGTGTACACGTCTAGACCTTCATTTCAGTGCATGTTAAGATGATCTTTTATCAGATTGTTACAGTTTCAGACACGTTCAACCTCTGAAAAACGATATGTAACACATCTAGTTGCCAGCTCGTTTTAAACTCCAGTCAAACCACGTCCGGAGAAGCAGCGCATCGCCACTGAGACTCTACAGAGCATCATTCTGACACGCCTCTCCTGAGAGAAATCTGCCAGCATGGGATATTTAAAGCTGATCGAGATCGAAAATTTCAAATCTTACAAAGGACGCCAAATAATCGGACCGTTTCACAAATTTACAGCAATAATTGGACCAAATGGATCTGGTGAGTGTTCTCTCTGGCGCTGATGCAGTTAAATTACACTGCAGTTAACACACTGCATTAACGTAGTCGCTATGGTTATATTATTAACATTTAAACGCATTACATTTTGGTGGTTTTGGGTGCCAAATTTATGTCCCATGCCAGAGGTTGATTGTTATATACAAAAAAAGTGTGTTTTTTCCTTTTCGTAGGTCATATTAAAACTGTCTTAGAAACTTTTTTTCATAATTTATAATTTCAGCAATCGTCATTTATTTTGCTACTAACTTTCATATATTAAGCTGTTTGTAATATTCATTCATATTATATGCTTAAAATCATAAAAAATAAAATATTGTAAAAAAAAATTAAAATAAAATGTGTAGCCTATTTGTTTACCCAAGTTACCAAATAGTTACCAAACTATTTGTTTACATTAAATGTCTCAGTGAAGACATTTAATGTGTAGGTATCAAAAATAAAGACTCTTTTATTTATTTTTGCTACTATATTCTATTCATATTTTAAGTTTTTCATAATATTAATTTGTTTTTAATTTAAAAAAATATATATTCTCAGTTAACATTACTGTCCATCAATTTATTCCAAAGCTGGAAGACAAAAGTCCTAGTCTAGATATAAGCCATGTTAGGTGTGCGGAAAAATTTGAGAAACCATGTCTTCATCATTCATTTTTGCTGCTAATTTTCAAATATTAAGCAATTAATAATATACATTCATATTATGTTTGGAATTAATATTATTATTATAACAATAAAAAAAAAGAAATACTGTTGTCCCTCAATTTTTTCAAAACGTTATGTACTTGTTTACCAACGAGACTAAAGTCTCAGTGGAAGTATAAGATGTGTGATGTGTGGGAAAAATAAAATAAAATAAATAACAGGAGAAATTCAAGGTAAATATATGAGCAGAGTATTGTGCATCATTTCCAATCAAATTTAAGTTTGGTCAAATTATTAAGAAAAAAACATTTCTTATTATTTCTTTTTAAATTATGTGCTAGCAACATGTGAGAAGTGCCGAATTCTGTGACCCTAGTAGGAGCTAAAATATACAGTAGAAGTGCCAGTACCATATACCGGTGTGTACCAGCCCACTTCGAGCACTGTTTAGGATACATAACTTGTAAGCTATGAAATTAGCTTTAGCCAGACACAAGAGTCTTGTTTAAAATGTCAAATGTCAAATAATAAAACTCAATACCCAAAATCACTGCTCTCTAGGGAAGTCAAACCTGATGGACGCCATCAGTTTTGTATTAGCAGAGAAGACCAGTAACCTGCGCGTTAAAACACTGAAGGATCTCATCCATGGAGCACCAGTAGGAAAACCAGCAGCCAACCGTGCCTTCGTGAGCATGGTCTACTGCGAGGACAATGGAGATGAATGCACTTTCACACGGGTCATCATTGGTAAATGTTAAAAATAAAGCTACTAAATTACTGAAAGTCCTGAAATTTGTTACAACTTCATGATAGTAAGTGAACCCCAAAAACTATAGTAAAAAAATCTTTACGGTATTTATTTTTCTGCATTATTTTCCCAGTGAGATTAACCATTTTTATGTGACAGGTTCCTCCTCAGAGTACCGAATCAACAATAAGGTGGTCGGGCTTTCAGACTACAGCGAGGAACTGGAGAAACTGGGTATCCTTATTAAGGCCAGAAATTTTCTTGTGTTTCAGGTATGCATGCACATGACCTCCTGCTTTTTTCAGAATTATAGAAAATATAAGAGAGCCTGATTAAGATATAATAGATTTTGTCTGTCTTTGTGTTTTTGTTGTGCAGGGTGCAGTGGAGTCGATAGCCATGAAGAATCCTAAAGAGAGGACGGCTTTGTTTGAGGAGATCTCCCGCTCTGGTGAGCTGGCCCAGGAATATGACCGCAGAAAGAAAGAGATGGTGAAAGCAGAAGAAGACACACAGTTCAACTATCACCGTAAGAAGAACATCGCAGCAGAGCGCAAAGAGGCCAAACAGGAAAAAGAGGAGGTAAACTTACTGCACCACAAGTCTGCAGTGACACACCATTAATGCTTTGTTGTTTAAACCTCTGCTCTCTGTTCAGGCTGAGAGGTACCAGAGACTGAAGGATGAGGTGGTCAGGGCTCACGTTCAGTTACAGCTCTTTAAACTCTACCATAATGAGGAGGAGATCGAGAAGCTGAACAGAGAGTTGTCCCAGCGCAACCGTGAGATTGAGAAGGACAGGAAGAAGATGGACCATGTCGAGGAAGAGCTCAAGGAAAAGAAGAAAGAGCTGGGAAGAATGATGCGAGATCAGCAGAATGTGGAGAAGGAGATAAAGTGAGTGATAGGTTAATATATATATATTAAAATTATATATACTGTATATATACACTCACCGGCCACTTTATTAGGTACCCCATGCTAGTAACGGGTTGGACCCCCTTTTGCCTTCAGAACTGCCTCAATTCTTCGTGGCATAGATTCAACAAGGTGCTGGAAGCATTCCTCAGGGAGTTTGGTCCATATTGACATGATGGCATCACACAGTTGCCGCAGATTTGTCGGCTGCACATCCATGATGCGAATCTCCCGTTCCACCACATCCCAAAGATGCTCTATTGCGTTGAGATCTGGTGACTGTGGAGGCCATTTTAGTACAGTGAACTCATTGTCATGTTCAAGAAACCAATTTGAAATGATTAGAGCTTTGTGACATGGTGGAAGTAGCCATCAGAGGATGGGTACATGGTGGCCATAAAGGGATGGACATGGTCAGAAACAATGCTCAGGTAGGCCGTGGCATTTAAACGATGCCCAATTGGCACTAAGGGGCCTAAAGTGTGCCAGGAAAACATCCCCTACACCATTACACCACCACCACCAGCCTGCACAGTGGTAACAAGGCATGATGGTTCCATGTTCTCATTCTGTTTACGCCAAATTCTGACTCTAACATCTGAATGTCTCAACAGAAATCGAGACTCATCAGACCAGGCAACATTTTTCCAGTCTTCAACTGTTCAATTTTGGTGAGCTCTTGCAAATTGTAGCCTCTTTTTCCTATTTGTAGTGGAGATGAGTGGTACCCGGTGGAGTCTTCTGCTGTTGTAGCCCATCCGCCTCAAGGTTGTGCGTGTTGTGGCTTCACAAATGCTTTGCTGCATACCTCGGTTGTAACGAGTGGTTATTTCAGTCACTGTTGCCCTTCTATCAGCTTGAACCAGTCGGGCCATTCTCCTCTGACCTCTGGCATCAACAAGGCATTTCCGCCCACAGAACTGCCGCTCACTGGATGTTTTTTCTTTTTCGGAGCATTCTCTGTAAACCCTAGAGATGGTTGTGCGTGAAAATCCCAGTAGATTAGCAGTTTCTGAAATACTCAGACCAGCCCTTCTGGCACCAACAATCATGCCACGTTCAAAGTCACTCAAATCAACTTTCTTCCCCATACTGATGCTCGGTTTGAACTGCAGGAGATTGTCTTGACCATGTCTACATGCCTAAATGCACTGAGTTGCCGCCATGTGATTGGCTGCTTAGAAATTAAGTGTTAACGAGCAGTTGGACAGGTGTACCTAATAAAGTGGCCGGTGAGTGTATATATATATATAGTACTGTGTAAAAGTCTTTGGTATACGTTAGTATTTTCACCCATAAAAAAGGTTTTAAGCCAGTTATTTATATCTTTTGCTGTAGTGTGTCAGTAGGAAATATCAGTTTACATTTACAAATGTAATAATCTAACAACAGCCGGTATGATCCACACGGAGATCTGATCTCACCATATAGTATTATATTATAGTATCTACAGTTGTGGCCAAAAGTGATCTTTTTGTTTTTAATCGATTAAACAATCATATTATGAAGAGTATGTTATATTGTGAAGAACAAAACACCATCGGACAATATATTTGGCAAAAGAAAG